GGGAGGCTGTGCTATAATGGGAAAGAATGGGCAGCGGTGGACGGCTCTAATAGGGCCTTCAGAGAGGATTCAGAGGTTCAGAACAAATCCTCGGTCACAATGGAGCACAGGTCTCCACCGAGCCAGGCAAGGCTCTGTCCATCCCGACAAATGTAATTAGCCTCACAGTGTGGCACCAACAGCTTCACTCAAAATGTCCTCAGCCTGCTGCTTCTTGGCTACATTTGCCTCACAATATCTCCTTAGTCAACAATATAGAATATGTGAAGGGAAAGGATGGCTTTAGAAAACAAGTAACTGAATAGAGGTCTATTCTGCTATAAGTAGGAAATAAATGTCTGAATATTCAGTCTATGTTTCACTGATAAATGTCTTCAGTTAACCAACATAACATGAACTAAAGCATTTTCTTCTTACCCCATGGTGTCTGTCCATCCAGAACACAGTTTTTGTTGTGTTTATGTTCAAAATACATTTCTGACCTCCTGCTAAATTATGAACCATCCAGATCTCTCAGGTCTTCAGGGACTGGTCAGCTTTCTGTCCCCAGAGTCAGAACTAAACATGGTAAAGCAGCGTTCAGTTATTATGCTCCAAATATCTGGAACAAACTCCCAGAAACCTGCAGGTCCGCTGCAACTCTGACTACTTTTAAATCCAGACTAAAGACTTTTCTTTTTGCCGCTGCTTTTAATTGAACTATTCACATCTTAGACTGCACTGTAACTTTTATCCATGTATTTTTTCTTTTAATGTTTATTTTATTATCTTTTCTTTTTAATGACTGATTTTAAATGTCATTTTCTTAATGTCTTTCATTTTTTGTAAAGCACTTTGAATTGCTTTTGTTTTTGCTCCTATTTTTCATGAGATGAACTCAAAGATCTAAAACATTTTCTATATACACAAAATAACCATTTCTCTCAAATATTGTTCACAAATCTGAAAAAATCTGTGATAGTGAGCACTTCTCCTTTGCCGAGATAATCCATCCCACCTCACAGGTGTGGCATATCAAGATGTTGATTAGACAGCATGAATATTGGGATGTTTTCAGCCTCCAGGAATTGTGTACAGATCCTTGCAACATGGGGCCGTGCATTATCATGCTGCAACATGAGGTGATGGTCGTGGATGAATGGCACAACAATGGGCCTCAGGATCTCGTCACGGTATCTCTGTGCATTCACAATGCCATCAATAAAATGCACCTGTGTTCGTCGTCCATAACATACGCCTGCCCATACCATAACCCCACCACCACCATGGGCCACTCGATTCACAACATTGACATCAGAAAACCGCTCACCCACACGACGCCACACACGCTGTCTGCCATCTGCCCTGAACAGTGAAAACCGGGATTCATCCGTGAAGAGAACACCTCTCCAACGTGCCAGACGCCATCGAATGTTAGCATTTGCCCACTCAAGTCGGTTACGACGACGAACCGGAGTCAGGTCGAGACCCCGATGAGGACGACGAGCATGCAGATGAGCTTCCCTGAGACGGTTTCTGACAGTTTGTGCAGACATTCTTTGGTTATGCAAACCGATTGTTGCAGCAGCTGTCCGAGTGGCTGGTCTCAGACGATCTTGGAGGTGAACATGCTGGATGTGGAGGTCCTGGGCTGGTGTGGTTACACGTGGTCTGCGGTTGTGAGGCCGGTTGGATGTACTGCCAAATTCTCTGAAACGCCTTTGGAGACGGCTTATGGTAGAGAAATGAACATTCAATTCACGGGCAACAGCTCTGGTGGACATTCCTGCTGTCAGCATGCCAATTGCACGCTCCCTCAAAACTTGCGACATCTGTGGCATTGTGCTGTGTGATAAAACTGCACGTTTCAGAGTGGCCTTTTATTGTGGCCAGCCTAAGGCACACCTGTGCAATAATCATGCTGTCTAATCAGCATCTTGATATGCCACACCTGTGAGGTGGGATGGATTATCTCGGCAAAGGAGAAGTGCTCACTATCACAGATTTTTTCAGATTTGTGAACAATATTTGAGAGAAATGGTTATTTTGTGTATATAGAAAATGTTTTCGATCTTTGAGTTCATCTCATGAAAAATGGGAGCAAAAACAAAAGTGTTGCATTTATATCTTTATTCAGTGTAAATAAACTTGCCTTGCCTTATGTTGTGTTGAGATTTTGAAATGTAAATGTTTTTCAACTCATGATTCTTTCCAGAAACAGTATTCCAATATTTTTGGATTATCTACTGATCTCAATGTGAACAGACATTGTTATGTCACAGCAAATGCTCTTAAGCAGAAGGGTATGGTGGAGAAATTGGTCAAGAAACCTGCCCTGGAAGACAATTGTAAACATTATTTTTGCCTATACCAAAGCATGAACAACATTTTTCTCTGAAATAGTACTTACCTAATATTATGTTACTTAACCTTACACATATTGATGGCAGATCAGAAAAAACACCTTTTGGATGCACTGACAAACATCGCCTGGCAGAGGTCCTCAGGTATTGACACATTTACTCTACTCTGAAATGCATTTATATTATTTCCCTACATAATGTATCTGTGTTTAATATATGTATTTGTATGTCTAAACTGATGAAATAAATATGATAGACCATTTAGCAGTAAGGGTTAGATCAATATGATATTGAGGATTTTTGGTTAATGTTAGGTTTGTTTGTGCTTGTAATGTTTCTGTATAATACGTGAACTATGTCAAATAGAAATCAGTATTGATGTATTGGTGTAAATACTTTATATTTAATGTCTGGACCCTTATTCTCTAGCCTCCTATAGCTTAGCAGGGTTTCCCATTTCACACGTCTCCATTATGTCTTATGATTGTATTTGTATTGAAACGTGTGAATTACTAAATAAATGAAATAAACAGAGTGAATTGGATCAGATTGACCTCATATTTCTTATTTTTTAAATCTATGAGATATCATGTGTTTTTTTTGTGAGGGTTAGAGGACTTATTGTTCATAATACTGCTCTGTCTGAGTATGGCCGAGTGCCTGTAATGCAACATTTGCTTAGTCGGAGCACTCCTCCGAGCTACATGCTGGATGGTGCATGTCATTGTGCCTGAAAGAAAAGGACCGTACAGCACACAGTTATCCAGATCCATTACGCCTCGCTGTTGTTTGGCCAGCCTGCTGTGTGGCAAATATGCCAGCAGGTTACATGAGAAAGAAAGGGGCATGTACACTAACAGAGAGACGGAAAGGGTACTTACAAATAAACTCTCAGGGTCACCTCAAAAGCACAGCAGGGGCCAACACATTTCTCTTCAAGTGTGGATCATAAAGTGTTTGTGCACAAGCATGTACATACCAGTTGAGATGCTTTACTTACATAAAAGTATCAATACAACAAATAAAATAAAAGTAAGCTTCAAAACTTGACTATAGAAAAAGCATGTATTGTCTGCAAAATCTACTTTGAAGTATTGAGAACTCATTGTCATTAATATGTTACTATATTATAGCAAATGTTTAGAGATGTGGGCAGCATTTTATGTTTTACCTGCAGGGAAACCTGAACTGTTATACGGTATACTCTTGTATAGTTTATATACAAAATATAATATAGTGATATCAAATATGTTGTTATTTATTGATATTGGCTTGGGAACCGAAGGGTCCTCGGTTCTAGTGCTGATCGGACCAAAATAATATGGAGTGTGGAGTGCTAACTGGAGAGGTGCCAGTTCACCTCCTGGGCACTGCTGAGGTGCCCTTGAGCAAGGCACCGAACCCCTAACTGCTCCCCGGCGCCGGACAAACTGGCAGCCTGCTCGCTCAGACATTTCTTCTAACAGAAAAATGCATGTGTTTGAATATGTATTCAGACCTACTGTGTAAAGCTCCTGTCCTGTGCATTTGTGTGTATTGTACTGTGTGTTACAGCTGAGTGAACACCTGAATTTCCCCCGGGATAAAAGAAAGGTTCATCTTCTACTTCTACTGTATGTAAGAAAGAGATAAATAAAGGGTCTTCTTCTTCCTAATTGCTTGATATACAAATGTTGTCATTCGTCTGACCTCTGCTAATTTAGTTTTTCACAAAAAAGCTTCAGTATTGTGGCTACTTATTTGAAGTTCTTTAGCAAAAAGCTGCTTTGGTCGGCGGGATAAAAAGGCATTTTTTAGTGCAGAGTAACTGGTTGTTTTGCTACATTTGAGAGGACTATAGTTTCCTACACTTCTGTCTCCGTCAGTCGAAGGGCCTCTGCTCTCTCAAAGTGTTTGATTTTGCTTTTGTCTTGACTATAAGAAATATACATACTCTCCATTGTATGCTCGCGTTGCGTGCATGTTATACAGAACTGAAGGCTTTTTCATTCAGAAGAGTGGAGGAAAATCAATGTCGCCTGCCCTTTAAAAACAATTCACAGTTGTATAGTTTCAGGGGGCTGTTCGTGATGGCGCTGCTGTCATTCACTGATGTCCTGCGGCCATGACATTCAGCGGCACACTTCCAGCCATTGTAACAAATTCAATAAGACTCCTCCAAACAGCCATGACAAGATTACCAATGTCCTGAAGAACATATATGTTTACCTATTTCTGTACACTGGTAGCTCATCACAGCTCAGTTGCAAAGCCATATATTATAGTTATCAGTTAACAGCCATATTGAGAAGCTGTATGTCTGTTTTTGCAGCATTCTACGATAAAGTTCAGCATTATCAGCATGCTTGGTATTGCCGAGTACTTCACACACATCTTACAGCCAAAATACAAGGTTATCTCTCTGCCCCGAGCTTACAGCAGGAAACGCTCCATTATTCCACCCGTAGACTTGCCCTGCCATAACACACTGATTTACACAGGCATGGAGTAATCTAACACTGATCTTTACTTTCCTACATCTCATCAACAGCCATCTGCAAACAGCTATGATTGAAATGAGAATTTAATATGAAATGAGAGCGCTTGGTAACCCATGGCAGTACAGTTGTGCAGAAAAGGAGCTGAAGGCCAAAATGAAGAGGATTACGGACGGATTACCTGTGTTCCGACTCGTGGATGGAGAAAATGACTCCTGACGTGGAGGACTTCTGCTGGATGGAGGCCAAGAAGGTAAACTCACTTTTCCTCTTGAACAGCTGCACCACTTTCTCTGTGATGTGTGCAGGGGCGTGAACTGCTCTCCCAACATCTGAAGGAATAAAGTAGAAATGGAAGTTAATCGTGAGCCTGTGTAAAGTCTTTTCACAGGCGATGTGCTGTGTGCCTCCGTCTTTTGCACTTGCCAAAAGTTGGGGCATCATATTAAGCTATCTAATCACACATGGTGAAATAACTTTACGCTTTGAAAATATATCTCATCTACTGTTCTCCCTGGCAGTATGTTTGAACAGAAAATTCCTCTGTTGATGCCAACAAGTTCCACCAAACGGATGCATGTTAATTGATACTTAGACAGTAAACTTTTTCATAGACGTGTGTGCTTTCTTATACTTAAGATAACCCTGTTCCCTCTAGAGATGTTATACTAGTTAAATCCAGCTTCTTCTGGGAAGAGCTCTGGCCCAATGTTTTGAAGTTTATTTTTAAATGTTTCTAAAGACAATTTTAGTCTTTAATAAATACATTGTTTATGGTCACTTTGTACTTAAAATTGCCAGGTTCTGTAAAAAGGCCAATTTTCTACAACATACACAGTCAGATAATGGGAGAGGTTGGAAAAAAAACAACAGTTTAGCCTAGATGTTGCTAACAAGTTCTTATTGTAATTTTTAAATATGGTAGGTAGAAGTTGAGCATGGATTTTTACAACTAATAGTTTGTGCCATAACTGCTTTGTCTGCCTTCAGATTCTCTTGAAAAAACTTTTTTTTTCGTACTTTTAATTATTTCTAGCAAGATGTCAGTGTTCTTATATGTTATTGACTGAAGTTTGTAGGTATTGCTGTTTTCATCTCCAGTAGGAGTCATGGACAATCCAACAGTGAGTTTGACAACTCTCGACTTTTAAAGCAACAATAAATGAGACAAATCACACCATAACAGTTTAAGTCTATGCGACCCTGCATTAACATAAATATAATTTTCCCATCTGCTTGTAAATTAGAATTCCAGTGATGTCTGTAAATCAGCAATAATAATTGCATGGAGGGGTCACTAGTTTGATTAGCAAACAGCCAGTTGAAAAAGAGGGATGATAGATTATGTATATGAGTGTTGGAATTCAAGCAGTTGATACAAAGAGGTTAGCAGCACATCTGTGCCAAGACCATCTAAGTGCCAATAAATCTATAGAATGCCGCATTTGCTAGGAAGAATGGGGGCTTTGTTTGTTTTTTCTTCAAATGTCCTATGTATTGTATTTCATCGAGCGCTAGATGAGTCTTAATATTGATTTTCTTCTATCCAGAGACAGTGGTTTTCATTTATGTCAATATGCTATGAGAAGAAACGTGCAGACTCGTAAACCATTCACTGATGACGCCGGAGTTTTAAAACGCATTACTGTGTAAAATTAGACACCAACAACTGGCAACCTACTCACAAAAGATGATTGCAATGCAGTGCGATTTTCTGTCTCCGATCTTCTGATTTTCTGTCTCCGATCTTGTAAAATTGCTAAAACTTTCTTTAGAGATCATTCAAATTGAAGGCGGTTAGAGGTGTTCATAGCTCATGCAAGTTGCATATCAGTTCGAATTGCTTTAACTGTAAATGACTGAAACCAGTGGCTGCCAGGAAGATACAAAACACATGGTATGGCTTTAGGATGTCAATGATGGTCCTGTAGAAGGTGCCTTCAACTTTGGTTAGAAGTGTTGACTTCTGGATGGATTGCCATAACAATGTGTTTAAATGTTCCTTGTCCACAGAGGAGGAATCATTCCAATGTTGGTTATCCCTTTTCCTATTCCCACCATGACATCTACATGTTTGGCTTTTTAGTGGAATAGAAGTACAATTGCGTGGACACTCAGGATGAATTCTAGTTACTTGTTTCATTTACTTCTCATCTTCTGCCACCATCAGGTGAATACACTTTGTAGTTTATGACTCAATACCTCCAAAATAGGTTTTGTGTTTGTTGCTAGCATGCTAACAAACTAAACTTAGATGGAAAATGCAAGACTGTTAGCTTAACAGAGAGTTGCTAGCATGGATTAATACATCAAGTCTCATGTGTCCAAGTCCACAATTTAAATGAATTTAAATTAGATGGAAGCACAACTGGTACATATTGCAAATAAAACAAATATATATATATATATATTTGTTAAATATATATTGTTAAGCGCTTTTGTTAAATCAAACAGAAAACACCCCACTGTATTTGCTAATGAATACATTTCTCACTTCCTTTTGTGTGCATGAGACTGGATTTGTAGGTGAGGAAACCAGAGGAATATGTAGTGACAGCAACCATGTGACTAAGCCACAAACACTGAGAACTGATTCTAAACGAGAAGATGCTTCCACTCTCCCAGCTGTACATGACAGACAGTCCAGTGGAGAGGAGCCGTGGCTGTCTCAGAGCAGGGCTTTTAAAACTCCCCGGGGTGAGAGCGGCCTGCCTTCTCACTCCACAGCCCGGTCACTTCCCCCCCATCTCCTGTTTCATGACAAGAGATCACCCCTTTCAAATCTGAGATACTGAACCTGTTTAGTGAGGATGCCGTCAGATTAACAGTCTGTTTTTGTTTTCATCTCCATTTTACATTTTGAGAAAAAGGAGCTGTGTGGTGCGCTTGGAAGTCAACAAATTACTTCCTAATTGATTCAAAAAGTATTTCTTTCAAGTCCCATATTAATTCAAGCATACAGATGATACATTGCAGCCTGAGCATATTATTATACTGTTCCATCAGCTGTGTCAGTCTAGAGGAAGAGAAACATGTTTATTTCACAGCTGAGATGAACAACTCATGTAAACTTTATGCAAATAAATGTAGTTTATAATAGTCTCTGTATATGTATTAAGAGGTGTTCTTAGAACCCATCAATGTCTATTGTATGAGCCAATACAATTGGTGAATCCCTTTTTAAAGAGGCCCTATTGTGCTTTTTGGGGTTTTCCCTTTACTGTAATGTTTTATATAGCTTTTTGTGCATGTAAATGCTCTGCAAAGGCTAGAATCCCAAAGTTCCCTCCAGATGGAGTTTCTCTAACACACACTCCCCCCCCCCCCCCCCCCCCCCCCCCTGTCTGAAACACCTCCATTGGACTGCTTTGTTTACTCCCAGAATATATATCGGCTTCACTATGTGGTAACACTGGCACATTTATGTCTAGCGCTCCAAACTGTTGGGCTAAAGGGCGGGACATGTCTTTGCGGTTGACCAATCATAAGAGAGCCGGCCAGCTGACCAATCAGAGCAGTTTTGGCCTGCCCAGTTCACTTACTGTAGATCTATTGCCTCCCTTTATTTCATTAAAAATAATTCATTTTCACTTATCTTCAAACAACCTGGCCTTGCTTTTGACTGCACTTGAGATATGGATATAATTATGAAGTACATTTCCAGGCATGTTTCCCTATTAGTGCCTATGCTGAATACAGTATACTTAAAAATATAAAAAATCAACCCACATAACAAATATTATTATTAACCAAGTTGTTGCGATACACCTATAGAATAATTATCCAATGGAAACCAATATTAACAAACCCAGACAGAACAGTAATGATGATGGATTGATTAGGAGCATAACTAAACCCTAAATGTCTCGACCGTACAGCCATAAATAAACCCATTTACAGTGACAGGAGGAAACAGGTAAAGCAGGAAGGCTGATCTCCCAGCAGGCCAGATGCAGCTCAGTGTAGGAGGCGGCTGCTGGCTGTCAGCACCTCCCTCTACATTTTACAGCTCATCTCTTTGATCAGGAGCCTGGCGGGTCCTCCCCCAACTTGGCTAAGTCTTACAGATGGCCTCTTTAAACTGGCAGTGAGGAAGAGGAGCTCAGCCGTGGTCCGGAGAGACTTTGCTCGCCAAAGACACAGCCAGTAGCGTCTGTGAGGACTTCTGTCTGGCCTGATATGGTGTCACAGCCAGATAAGCACATTGCAGTTCTCCACTCAAGTTTTTGTCAAGGTCACGAAGTAGATCAGGGCAGAGTTTTCGAGGAGGCCAGTGTCCAGCAGGCTGGCAACTGGCAAGAACAATCCATGCTCTCTAGCCTAATGATGGTGCGTTCACCCTTCACTCTAATCGCTCTTATCGCATTGCTCTAAACGCTCGAGTTTCACCGCGGCTGTCAGCTGTGTTTACTCGCATCGTTCAAACAAGACGCGCTGGCCAGGGGGCTACAACTACAGCAAAATGAACATATTTGACCGTGATTTAATTGTAATATAAGACTAGACGGCCGGCGAAAAACCTTTTCAAATGCGTGTTTTTTGAATGGAGATCGGATCGATCAGGCTATCAAGCTAACCTTGTATATGCTCCGTCCACACTCACAACAACGGCCTACAGACATAAATAAACCAGCGACTGTATTCGCCATGACACAGACAGTCCGTGGTTTGTACTTCTTTAACTTTTGTCCACTTTCTGAACAGATATGAGGAGCTGTGAGCTCTGTGTGCTAACAGCTAACGGCTGATGTTTTGGTTTTCTGGTTCAACGTCAGTGACTGCAGGCTGAGATCTTCACCACTGATTGGCTACCACGAGATCGTGTGACGCTAATGTTACGCTCGAGTTGAAAAAATTGAACTCGAGCGGTTGTCGCGGCCCCCTTCAATCGCCTCAATCGCAGCACGGCATTCACATCAACCGCTTCATACGCGCCGTCGGAGCGAATTTGCGTCTGTCCGCGTCTCTGCATTGACTTTACATGTAATCACGCCGCTCCCAAAAATCGCATCGCATCCGGTGTGAATGCATATATGTTTATGTTCTGCTTTTATAGCTGGCTGTTCATTGGGGTTAAGTCATTTTTAAAAGATCTGCATATCTTGACTGCTGCTTATGAAGACGTACAGTATGCTGCATCTTTCATGGCTTGATGCGGTGCAATGATGCCAATGGAGTTTCATTGGCAGCCATCCTCAGGCACTGCCGAGAGAAAGACATGATTTCTTAAGAAAGTTGCACATGTTAAAAGTGCTAATGGACTATACATTCTTCAAGCCGTGAAATAAAAGTAGTAGTAGTAGGCTACTAACACCTTGTCCCTTTTTTTATG